AAATACTACATGGTGCCACTGCTGTAAAACAGGACTGACTTCGGGGTTGGGGGGAGACTGAGAAAGATGGGTTTAGTAATGTATACTGCATTGAAACTGATGAGAGAGAAAACTTTTAAAAGGGATATGTGATCAGGTATTATTGTCATGACAGGAGTCCAGAACGAAGGCTGCATAGTAGAGTGGACCTGAGGGGAGGGACTGTAAAAGAATGAAAGAATTTTTCTTTTACTTTTTTTTTTAAGAATTTTCCCTTTACTTTTCAAAGAGAAGAGTGTACTGGGGGGAGGGGTGGGCAGGGAGAAAAGTGCAACAATGAATGAATGGAAATCCAAAGTCTCTGTAAATTTCCATTAAAATTAATAATTTTAACTGGCATAAACAATTAAGCACTCAGCTGCTGACCAAAAGGATAGGGATTTGACCACCATTGGCTGCACGAGGGAAAGACCATAGCCTCAGAAACCAAATACAGCAGTATGCTGTCACTGAAGTCATTGACAGTCATATTTTCTCAAGTGGTAGGTAACAACAACAATAACTAATAAATTGACCTTTCCTTCTCATTTTCCCGCATGTGTTACTGCAACAAAATTGTCTGTTTAGTATTCATAGTTTTGAGGCAAGAATGAAGAACTTCTGGCCTTCAAATTTGGCAAGTTACAAAATCATTACTTAATGTTAGATACTTGAGGAAAGTGGGGGAAGGAAGTTGTGACACCATAACAGCTTTCCAGTTTTGAAAGGAGATTGTTTGTTGTTGTTATGTGCCATCGAGTCTCTTGCAACTCATAGCAACCCTGTGTGCAACATCCCTGAAATTGGCTCTATCCTGTGCTAACTTTGCTGTGACACACCTGCCCTCATTACCTCAGTCACTGTTATCAATCCATCTCATCAATGGTCTCCCTGTCTTTCTCCATCCCTCCACCCTTCTAAGCATGATGTCCCTCTCCGAGGACTAGTCCCTCTTTGCAACATACCCAAAGTATGTCAGACAAAGCCTCAGAATTCTTGCCTCCATGGAGCAAGTTGGTTTCACCCTTCCTAGGTCTAACATGTTCTCCTGTCAGTCCATGATATCTTCAGCACTCTTCTCCAGCACAGCTCAAAGGCATCAATTCTTTTTGTCATCCCTAGTCATTGTCCAGCTCTCTGGCACATAGCGTGCAATTGCAAAGACTATGGCCTGAATTGAGTGTACCTTAGTCTCCAGAATGACATCGTTGCTCTTCAGTAAACTGGAGAGGTCCCTGACAGCCAACTTTCCCAATGCAATTCATCTCTTGATTTCCTGGCTGCTGGTACCAAGAGTGTTGATAGTAGGGCCAAGCAAATTGAAGCTGTTAACAATCTCAATCTCTTCACCTTCTATCATAATGCTGCCACTCGGGCACAGTGGTGAGAATCTTTGTTTTCTTGATTTTGAGCTTCAATTCATATTGAAGACTGCAGTCTTGAAAGGAGATAAAGAATTTAAAAAAAGGAAAAAAAAATAGCAATTACCTTAGTAGAAAACTAAGCATGATGACTTGGAGAACTAGAATTTAACAACAAAGAAGAATTTGAGACCAGGGCTCTAGAACTAGAATGAGAGGCTCTTTGCTTCTGAAGGAAAGGCTGACAAAAAACTATCAATAATACTAATACAGTTGACATATTAATGAGACACATGGTATAAAAGAACTCTCTTCTACAGAGTTAATTGGTGATACTCATAAGCCATTCTTTTTTATTATCTTTTATTGATATTTTAACGTAAGTTTACAGAAAACTTAGATACCCATTCATTCATTGTTGCACATTTTCCTCCCTAGCCCCCCTTCGAATTTGCTTTTCTCTTTAAAAAGATTCTTTCATTGTTGCACAATTTCCTCCACCCCATCCCCTCCCCTCATCAACTTTGCTACACACCTCTTATTCTGGAGTGTTAGAAGCCATTCTTTTAATTATTTTCTTTCTATTGTCCATCACTGTTTCCCTAAAATAACAGTTTTTCCCCAGACCATGGCCTTGTTTTGATTGTCTTCTTTCTTAAACATTCTGTGGTTTTGGGATATCTCTTAATTTTTTGTGTAGGATTTGGGGTTTTTTTTAAATTGTTCTGCTTTTTAAATACAAATATATATGCTTAGGGTGGGGAAGAACCCTGAAAGTGGCAAGATATTCATTGGCTCAGGGTGTAAACCAGGGATGTGTCTTATCGCCAAGACTTTTCAATCTATATGCAGAACAGATCATCCAAGAGGCTGGGTTCTATGAGGAGGAATGTGGTATCAGGATTGGGGGAAGACTCATCAGCAGTCTGCATTATGCAGGTGACACAACCCTGCTTGCTGAAACTGAGAACCTGAAGCGTTTGCTGCGGAAGGTCAAGGACTGCGGCCTTCAATATGGATTGAAGCTCAACATCAAGAAAACAAAGATTCTCACCACTGGGCCAATTGGCAAAATCATGATAGACAGTGAAGATACTGAGATTGTTAATAGCTTTAGTTTTCTTGGCTCTATAGTCAACACTCCTGGCACCAGCAGCCAGAAATCAAAAGATGAATTGCATTGGGAAAGTCTGTTGTCGGGGATATCTCCAGAGTACTGAATAGCAACAGTGTCAGACCTGATCCAGGCCATGGTCTTCGCAATTATATACTATGCATCAGAAAGCTGGACTCGGAATGATAAGAGATTGATGCCTTTGAGCTGTGGTACTGGAGAAGAGTATTGAATTAACCATGGACTGCTAGGATAACAAGTTTGTCTTCGGGAGGGTGAAATCAGGCTGCTCCTTGGAGGCAATGATTCTGAAGCTCACTCTGACATACTTTGGGTATGTTGCAAGGATGGTCCTTGGAAAGGGACATTATTCTTGGGAGGGTGGAGGGACAGCACAGGAGAGGAAGACCCTTGATGAGATGGATTGACTCAGTGACTAGGGTAATGAGAGTAGATGTTTCAGAGACAATAAGGCTGGCTCGGGATAGAGCAGGGTTATACATAGAGTCTCTATGAGTTGCAGGTGACTTCACATAACATAATTGCAACAGGGAGCCCTGCTCGCATAGTAGTTAAGTGTTAGCTATTAAACTGCTTACTGTCTTTTGAAGAGAAGTGACCAAAATCTTGAGGGTCCGATTCCTTCAAGATTATAGCCTGTGAAGTGTTCTCTGTCCCATAAGATTGCAATGACTAGAAACTGATTCAGCAGCACACAGCAGCAACCCTATTGATTAGGTTATAGGTCATTTTCTTTTCCTATTTTTTTCTGTAATGCGTACTATAAAGTATTGCTTTGTTATTTTTCACTACAAAAGTAATATATGAAAGTTTTTGAGAAAGATCTAGAAACAAAATCTGAGTGCTATTTTCTTCCCATTCACATCTATAATTTTTTTCTCTGAAGGCATATATTTTCATTGTGTTCTCAAGCCATTGCCTCAACATTTTAAATATTGTGATATGGAACTTGACTGCTTCCCCTGCTCCCATCAGTCACTTGCTTGGACTCTTTCTCTTTGTTCTAGAGGAAAGGAAGAGGGGACAGTATTTGATAAATTTTATTAATGTTTTGTTTTCCGATACTTTTTCAAGAAAGCCTTGAATTGGTAGTTTTTTTTTCTTATACCATCTTCTACCCCTTTCTGTAAATATAGAATTCCTAAAACATTACTATACCTTTAATTGGCATATATGAGTAACTATAACTTTTTTCATTAATTGGAATGGGTAATCAGACTGTCCTGACAATTTACTGAAATTTCAGTAATTCTTAATCATAAAACTGAATTTCACAATGATCCCTTATAATTTTAAAAGAATGTTAACAGTCTCTACTAGTTTGTTGTTAGTATTTGAATCTACAATTTCTGTTTTCACTTTTGTACAAATCTTTTGTTTTTATTTCATTTCAGGGTTGTCGTTTTGGAAAGTAGGCCAACAGAAAATCCTACTGCACACAGCAACCTCTACATCTTGGCTGGACATGAAAATAGTTACTAACAGAAACTCATATGAAACAACAGGAAAATTATTATATCACATATGAAAGCAAAATATTTTAAGGAAATTTAGTACGAACTGCACTATGGTTTGCTTTAACTGTTATGGGTTATCTTAATGATCTGTACGTTAAGGTGGAATTCAATATTTTCTGTAGCTGGAAACAGCTAATTCTATCTCTTGCCACTGTGTGGTGGTTATATCAAGTTTGCTTAATAAAAGCTATTAGTCAAATAGTCCTCTATTAAGTTCCAGGAAACAGTCCAACAGTCCTTTTTTTTTTTTTTACAAAAACAAAATGATGTTTGTAACAAAGGTGCCATATTTTTAGATAACAACTCATGATTATCTTCAGACAGATAACTATAGTGTCAGTTTTCTCATTTTATACCATGTTCTAGTTCTTCCTAATGAACATAATTTGATAAAGAAATTATCAGACAGGTATTTCATTTTTACATTGGCCATTCTGTATGTTTTTGTAAAATAGAATATTTAAACCTTATTTATTAATCTCTTGCTGGAATGGTGTAATGTATCTAACTTTTAGCTAAGAAGGGTTGCAGAGCAGCTTGACTTTTATAATGTATAATAAGTTTGTTTATCTTTTAGGAGTAGTACTTTAAGGGGTTAAAGACAATGTGTTTGGGGTTTTGATACATACATACAATTTTCTGTTAACAAAAGTATTTTGTAATGTAATTTGATGCAGAGTTGCCTTAAAAGGAAGTTTCATGTTTTCAATTGCAAATAGTTTGGAGAGGGTGGGTCCTACAGATGATAATTGATGATGGTTGAAATATTCAAAGGGATATGTATATCTCGGTATGTCTACCATATGTATTTACTCTTGACAAGCAGTATAATATATCTGTGATTTTTTTTTACATTAGGGATAATGCATTAAAATTACTTTATATATATATGTATAACCATCCCTAATGTAGGAGACAAAAAGTATTTAACTGTTCATTATATGTATTTTCCTTATCCTATACCAGAGG